TATATATTTTAAATTTTTTTATTTAAATATAAAATAAAAAAAATATAAAATTTTTATAATTTAAAAAAAAAAATAAAAAAATTTTTAAACACCAAAAAAAAAAAAAAAAAAAAAAAAAAAAAAAAAAAAAAAAGGAGAGAGAGAGTGGTGACTTTCTTAATCGATGCCCTGCCGGAGCAAAACCCACGAAACCACGACAATAGGCAATAAGAAAATGGCCCGCATACGGAACAGACAATCGTTACTCCTTAGTGCACTGTACCACCCATAAGATTGAATGCTGTCGGGCGAAGTCCCGCAAACAGTCAGATGTGATGCGTCGGAAGACCACAGGAGGCCAACACGTTGAGGTGCCCGACATGGTCAGCAATTAGGGGCGAGCTCGGGGTGACCTCACCCAGCGGTCGAAAATTGCGCCAGCAGGTAGCCGAGCTATTGTTCCTCGCCGGTGAGATATAGGGGGGGTTACCGTATATTCGAAAAGGGGTGAGACATTAAAATGGATATTAATCCAATACCCGCGTATAAGGGCCCATTCCTATTCTGCAGACAGCTATGTATTATTCAGCTAATCCGAGCACTTACATAGGAAACCAGTCAAGTCCATCTATCAGTCCGCATATATTAAATACGCAGCTTGAAGGCACGACTTAATTTGACATGACAGTCCGTACGGCCTTACACGACCTTTCCACTCGAATACCTATGACAAAGCCGTTTTCGTGTGGCCGACCGGAGCTTTTTTCTGTGTGAGACTTGCAACAACACGACCATGACGACAGGGGCGGGAGGGGGAATGAATTATTTTGCGTTGGCGTTGATGGCGTCGTCATAGCCGCGGACTAGGATCCTCCTGTTGATCTTTGATCTGGGGTTGGCTCGAGAAATGCATAAGCCACAGTCCCTTGCCATTCAGCCATTCACATCCATTCCATTCACCTCCCTGCCTCCCGATCTTAGGGCATGACATCATATCCCAACTCGACCCCTGATCCTTCTTCCTCACGGGACCGCAATCTCCCATCGAATTAACCGCATTCCCGTCTGTTCGATGATGGCATTCGACACGTACGTATGTACAGTATGTGCCCGTGGAGTCTCGCTTCGGTTACTGCCGTGCGACTATCGGGTTGTATCACGATCCCTTCCTCGATTACTGTGCCCATATATATATATGACCTATACATTTAAGACTGTAAGCTGGAAAACCCACGTAGACATTTTCTCTATATCATAGTTGAATACCCTACCCAATGCCCAGTAAAACACATCAGAAGAAGTGAACAATTCCCCTTCTAGTTATTTACTTAAGCTAAGAATAAACAAACGATCCTCCTATTTAATACCACATTCTTTTTTTTTTTTTTTTTTTTAAAAAAAAAAATGGTAAAACTCGCCCCAGTCAACCCACGCAACTACATGCCCTCGCGGGCAGACCCAGAACACCGCTCGCGGCGCAAGGAACTCGAAAAAGAGCACCCGTTCACGTGGAAAGAGCCGTTGGTGCTCGGCATGATCGGCATCGGACTGGCCTGGAACATCGAGAAGCAAGTCCAGAAGCGCGAAGAGCGGAAGGAGCGCGAGGAGCAGCAGCAGCAAGGCCGAGACAGCAACAATGATCGTCGCCGTCGAAGAAGGGACCAAGAGGGCCGTGATTGTGGTTCATATGGTCCTTGGAGTCAGCAGGATGGCGAGAGCAGGAGAAGTAAGAGTAGCAACAAAGGCAGCAGCGAGGATAGGCGAAGAAGCCAACATAGGAGCGGTGGTAGCGACCACAGCGTAGGGAAGGACACGGTAGAACTTGAGCGCAGCAGAAGAAGTAATCGTGATCGCGTGCAATCGGTTGATGTGAGACGGCACGAGGACCCGAGGTATATCAACGACGACCGGTATTACGAGCAATCCCGGTACGATAGGGGGTACGACGACGACGACCGGAGAGAATGGGACCGAGAGTACCGCGGTAGAAGAAGCCGTCGCGATTCCTGGTAATAATTAACAATTATATTATATTCTCCGTATACACGACGTACCCTCATCGCCGCCTCTACGAATACGTTATACCTACTTCTCTCCTAATAATCATTAGGAGGTACCTTAGGTTAGGTAGTTTTACAAGGTCCATCAAAGCAAAAGAGATGGCATACAATCGGTTGACACCATTTAAAAAAAACGAAAACGGTTGGGAAACACAAGACTCGAACCCAACAATATCGCGCATCGCATCGCATCGCAACAAGAATACATTCACCCACACACACACATACACAAATCCACCAACAGCCAACCCAGCAAAAAGAGAAACTCCTCTTCAAGGCCCAGCCCCAGGTCTCAGCGCCCAAGCTACTGCGCCCCCCATACTCCCGCCTAATCCGCATCCTCTATAGATTCCATATGCTGGATTGGGCTAGGAAAACATCTATATCCGCGGGGAGAGTAAGTGGGTATTTATTTGCGACTCCTTTTCAGGAAAGAGGGTAGATGCCTATGCCTCCCAGCAATCATCGGCGCCTAGTCGTGTCTGAGGCAGTGAACCGCTAAGCCATATGGCTCAGTTCGCGAGTTGTGCCGCTGGTGCTGGTCGGTCTGTTACGACGGTTTATCTGCTGCACTTCGGCCGTGGGGCGTTGCCCCGTGGTTCACGGGTGTTGCCTGTCATGACGGCGGGGTGACACCTGCGCTGCTTGTACACTTGGACGCAGCTGTATTATATATATTAGATACCTGGGTACTTAAAACTTCATGAGGCCATGAGCAACGAATAGCATATGCATATCTAGACTTAGTTGATTTATTTAGTATTCTATCCACCACATTTCTAAAATGCATTTCTACTTAACTCTGCTTCTCTTCGCTACTTGCCCCTAACTAAGCAAGTGTCTTCTCAGCCACCTCAACAAGAATCTCGAAATGCTTCCTAACGTGATGCTCCTCTACCAAAGGCGTAGCTGGATTGTGCCGGATGGCGAAGACGCCGCCGACTACGGTGCTCGACAGGAATATCCGGCCCTCCTCCACCACGGCGTCGTACATCTTCTTAGTGAGCTCGTTCTGCTCCTCTAGCGTCGACTCCTTCTTCACCAGCTTGAATACCGTTAGCGCGAATCGCGGGCCCGTCACAATCTCGAAGAGGTCCGGCCGCGTCTTGACGAGCTCTCCAAACGTCTCAGCAAGTTTGATGTGCTTCCGGATGTGTGCGCGTAGACCCTCGATGCCATATGTGCGTATCACGAACCAGACCTTGAGAGATCGGAATCGTCGCCCGAACGGGATCTGCCAGTCGCGGTAATCAGTTACGAGCCCAGAGTCTGTGTGCTGGTTTCGTAGGATGGGTAGTGTAACGCTAAGGGCGTCTATAAGATGCTTGCGGTTGCGTACCCATAAGGTGCTGCAATCAAAGTTTACTAGCAGCCACTTATGCAAATTTGTGTTGTAGCTGTGAAAACGCTCAAAGGGCTTCGTAAGATGCTGGTACTCGGGGCAGATTAACGAGGCTCCTGCGTACGCCGCGTCAACGTGAACCCAAATCTCCCCAGGGCCTGCAGGCGCTAGTTCTTCTAATACCGATGCGATACCCTCCATGTCGTCAATACCACACGTATCGGTAGTTCCAAGGGTGGCAGTCAAGTAGAAGGGCTCGAGGCCCTTAGCACGTAGTTCCAAAACGACCCGGCGCAGCTCGGCACCTGTCATCCGGTAACCATCGGCGGCGTGTACGGGGACGGCACGGAACCTGACACCGGCGATTTGGGCCCCCTTCTTAGTAGCGCTATGGGTGGCAGCGCTTCCAAGGGCTACGAGCTTGCTACGACGGATAGCAATGGCATCCTCACGTTCTTCCTCGTCTGTGATGTGCGCCGTAGCCTCATTCAGATACTTGTCACGAGCAGCTACTAAAACAGTGGCGATGGCCTCGGAAGCGGTGCCATGGATGACGCCGCCACCGTTAGTAGGTCCAGTAGAGAGGTAGCACGATGGCAAGCCAAAAGCCTTGGCTAGCCAATCAAGCACGATAGTCTCAAGTTCAGTGACGGCGGGCGAGCAAATCCAGTTGAAGGCAGCACCGGTGAATGCGGCAGAGTACATCTCACCAAGCATGGCCGGGAAGCTGCTGGAAGAGGGGAACCATGCCAGGAAGTTGGGTGACTGCCTAATAATTTTCCCTTCCTCGTTAATCTTGAAGTTCTCTTTAGACGACGACTAACGAATGGATAAGTAGAGGGTGCGAACCAATGTGTTATGCCAGGGAGGATCTTGGACTCAAGATCTTTCTGGATATCAGCCCAAGCCTCTCCATTCTGAGGAGCTTCTTCAGGCAGTAGTTTTCTCAGATAACCAGGCTCAACGTTTGAGACGACACGGCGCTCTTCGATGGTGTCGTAGTATTTGACGACTATAATTATTTAGTCGTCGTGAGTTGATATTTTAGATATTTTAGAAGGTGATGAGACTCACTGTCGTCAATAGACGATATAGCCGCCTCCCGAAATTGCTTGGAGTCCATTTTGCTTGGGTTAAAGTGGCCGTATTGAATTGAGATGTAGTAGAAATAAAATAAATCCCCAGTCTCAATGGAATAATCTGTAGAATATACCTAAATACTGAAATTGAGTTTGGGAATTACAATAGTTTTATAGTATAGGGTAGTTACAATGGTATAGTGAGTACATTAAGCAGTACATTAAGCAAGTACTTCTTTCCTATACACATGACTTGGCAACTTTTTACTCCACCTCCCCCCTATAGTCCCGGCCCCAATTAAAAAAAAACGGGGGATTTCTTAGGTCTTACGACTTTATATCGGAGGGCGCAACAATGACATAAAATGTCAACTTCACCATAAATACTGAGATGATTGTATTACATAGTATTTATGATTCGAGAAGATGACAAGGGAAAATATTGGAAAAAGAAAAGAATATATATCTGCCTACATGTCCAAGTTAATGATGAATTGCTTTTGTATACACGTAGTAAATACCTCTCGTATCACTAATATACGACTAAATCTAGTGTTAGCAGGTATAATTCCCAAGCCGTCGTATCAAGTTTCGGCACTCAGCCCCCTATGTATCACAAAGCGATGTCATAGATTCCCAGGTAGGTAGGTAAACATGTGCCCCCCAGCTACACAAACCCCTTTACGACCTAAACTTCTCCTGCCATTCCCTATAATGGTCCAGCATATCCCTCGTCACCAGCTTCGGCGTCTTCTGTATCGCCGCAAGCAGTACCCCCATAGCTGAGATCCCCTCGTCATCATCCGCATCCCAGAACGCCTTGTCGCAGATTCGCGCCACCTCCGCCCCCGAGTAACCCTCAGACTGGCGTGCTAGCTCCGGTAAATCAACAGTCCCGTCTTCCGGGAAACCCAACTCTCTGGCTTTGGCGGCGAAGATTGCCTCGCGCGCCTTGGCGTCCGGCAGTGGTACGTAGATCAGCTCGTCGAAGCGGCCCGGCCGCCGTAGTGCCGAGTCCAGAAGCTCCGGTTTATTCGTTGCTGCTAGCACGAACACCTCGCCGATACGCTCGAACCCATCCATTTCCGTAAGTAGCGTGGTGAGCGCTTGCACGCCTCCACCCGTACTACCGCCCGACCGCGACCCTGCGATCGAGTCGAACTCGTCGAAGAATATAATACTGGGGCTAGCTTCGCGTGCTCGCTTGAACAGGTTGCGGATCGATCGCTCCGTCTCGCCCACGTACATATTTAGAAGCTCGCCTCCCTTCACGGCGAAAAAGTTGAAGTCGGATTCTGTCGCCATGGCTTGGGCTGTCATTGTCTTGGAACAGCCGGGTGGGCCGTAGAGAAGAACGCCCTTTGGTGGCTTTGACATCCTCGCACGAGGACCCTAGTTTCCGTCATTAGCTATTTTTACTTATATTAGATAGGAAGCTTAAGACGTACCGTAGGGCGCCGGAGAACCCTCTGCAAGGCAACTTTGACTTCCTCGTAACCACCAATATCGCTCCAGCGCACGGTAGGTGGCTTGAGATTTATATCATGCATAGCTGTAGGTCGCACCTCGTGCAGCCCCTTTGCCACATCGTCCCATATTAGGGGTTCCATCTTAGAAGGACTTCCCACTCGCTTTCTCCATGCTTTGGTAGCACGGTAGAGGACTTTCCGTAGATCTGCGCCGGTGTACGCATGCGTCCGGTCACCAAGATCTGATACGTATTGATCAAACACATCCGGGGCGAAGGTTGGCTTGTGATAGCGTATAATCTCTTTGCGTCCTTGCGCATCTGGAACAGGGAGAGCGATATGCTCCTCGAACCGTCCGGGTCGTTGAAGGGCGTGGGGGATGTCGTTTAAGAAATCAAGGCAGGTAGCAATGACTAACACATGCGGTCTCCTATTTTGTTGGCGCGCTCTATGCGATAATGCATCAAGCCCCTCGCCGATTGTCTCAACCATAACCTGGCGATTCGACTGTTCCTTGCCTATTAACTTTGTTATATCATCTAATAAGAGGATGGTAGGGCTGCGCTGCTCCAGGGCAGTTTTAAAACAGGTCTGGATAGTTGTCGATTTATCGCTATAAGTTAGTCGAACGACTCTACCCCAGTTAGTCGCAGCGATATGATCAAGTAACATCGACTTTCCTGTTCCATGACTTCCATAAATAACGATCCCACAGGAGTAAGTTGGTGTAGTATATCCTTCAAACTCGACATCGAAGTCGTTGAAGAATTCGTTAAGCTCGTCTATCTGGCGCTTCATTCCTGGAAGCGAGCCAACTTCTAACTTGCCCCTAGTCTGCACAGCGTCTTCGTTGGAAAACTCGACAACCGTAGATCCGGGAGCGTACTTGGCAACGCCATCGATCCTGCCATTTACAGACATAACCACAAACGAGCGCCTTGACCCGTTTAAGACGATTTCATCAAATGACATACTCGGCAAGATGAATTCAGCTACTTCTGTTGATATTGTCAACCTAGTGATACATGAAAAGGGGTCGAAAAGCAGAATATATCAGGAGTGACAGTTATTAAGTCTAACTTAGTATTAAGTAAGATCATAATGCTACCTATGAACCTATAAATAAGTTCATAGGTGTTACTCTCATGTTGACTCAGAGGCGTTCATTACCAACAACGAACCAGCTCATGGCTCAGGATCGTTAAGTGTAATTTCGATAACTTACCTAATCGACTCTCGAGATGATATTGCCATCTTGTCTGCTCCGAAGCAGGCAACGGGACAGGATCCGGGGTTGTTTCTCTCATGATCACCACCCCAGCATCGGGAACCGGCCCATTTCCAGGAGTAACTTTAGCTTGTTGGCCAAGTTCCAGACCGGCTAGTTTTTGAAATACTCTGCTAACAGATATAATGTTGTTGGCAACATTCTTATCCGGGGCCGGCCACGCAACGGCCTCCCACCGAGCAGGCCCATCCGTTTCGACGTTGCAGAGATGTGCGGTAGTGAAGCCCCCTTGAGCAAAGGTGGTGGGATGGATGAAGATTTTAGCTGCGTTTTTATACGTGGGATTCTTCTGGTTGGCTACATCTTGTGGCTGTAGCCGGACTTTGAAGTCGTCTTTCCCCATTGCTGGTGAGCTTTAATGTGTAAAGCCAAGTTTAAGTGATGTGTGTATAAGAAGTTTTAAGTGGCTTTAAAATCTTGGTCAATAACCAGGCAGGTCGTTGTTGGTAGGTTTATGGTTGAGGTTGATGGCACTAATTATAATAGTATTGCTCATTGTCAATATTAAAATATTAACCCCTAGGTGTTTTCTCTAATTTTTGGAGGAGGGAGGAGGGAATAATTCATTTATAAAATAGAAGCATGAAGTAAGGTGCAGATGGATGAGAAGATATCGTAGTTGCGTCTCTTGTGGGATAAGTCAGTTAAAAGCACAGTGTGAGCCTTTACGGTAGTACAAGGGTAGTACAATACAAATAACCCAATCAAAACTATTTGTGCTACTCTAATAGGCTATTTTCATAGCGCTATAATAGAGTTAAATACAGTATGGATCAGTATGGATTGCGACTTCCTTTCTAAATTCTAAGCCCTACGAAAAAAGAAGATGGATTAGTTCAGCTCCAACTTTCCAACTTTTCCAATTCTCTCCAGCTTCGACTTATTCGAATCTGCACCGCACTGCAATGCGCTGGGCGTCACAACTCGCCGCCTCATGCTCCTACGACAGCTCCACCGGCCATCTTCACGACCGGTAGCCCTAGCAGCATGGCGATTATCTCATACGGCGTTGCTGCACGGTAGCACCACCACCAGTCGACCATATCCCCCCCCCTCCTCCTCCTCCTCCTCAACATCCTCCCAGACCAACAGCGACAACAACAGCAACAGCCAAGATGACGCACCAAAACCCAGACGCCCCTCCCTCTTCGAGCAGCTCTTCCCCGACGAAGCCAAAGCCCTCGGCAAAAACACCACTCCTAAACCCTCCTGGGCCTCGCATCTACTAGACGACCCCCCGCAGCCCTCCCTCGACACCGACACCGATACCGACAACGACGGCGACAGGAAATCCAGCGACGTGCCCCTGCGCGCGAAGAGCATGCTCATCCTCTCCGCGGCTAGCAAGCACCTCGCCGAGAGCGACTTCCTACGCCTCGGGCCCCAGGGCGCCCACATCGAGGACTGGGTCGGCGGCATCTCGCGCGTCATCCAGGCCCGGGACCCGGACACCCTGCAGCCGCTCGGCCATTACTTCGTGCTGTTCGACCGAGAGGCGGCTGCGGCCGCGTACTGCGACGAGGTAGAGCGGTTGTGGCAGTTAGGCAAGGCGCACGTGCCGGGTGCGCATCACAAGAAGAAGGGGTCTACCCCCTCGGTACCTCCGCCCCCGGGCTTGCCGTCCGCAGATGGCAGTGGCCGCGACGTAGCGGCCGATCTGAGAGCGTTTACCCTGGTGCCGCCGAGCCAGCGGTACTACCTCGATGTGTCGAGCGGGTTCAGCCGCGTGCGGATCGAGGAGTTGGATATAGGCGGGGTCGCGTTCGTCGACCGGCTGGCCGACCGCGCCGGGTCCAAGCACATGGTTCTTGTTTCCGTGGACGGGGGACGCATATCGCTTGATTGGCTGCGGCAGGCGATCGAGGAGGATGGCAAGGATCGGAACCTACCGTGGCGAGTGACGGATCTCGAGAACGGTATCCTGCCCTTTGGGAAAAGCATCATCAAACAGCAGGATAAGGACGCTAATGACTTCGAACAGGTCCTTCGGGACCAGGCTGCACGAGTAACAGGGAGTGACGACGGGGTTGAAGGTGAAGGAAATGTGGAAGGGGAAGAGGAAGTGATTAAGTCTAAGCAGTCGAGCATAGTAAACGATGGGGGGTATCGCCGGTATCCTCGCTTCATCATTCCGTTCACGGATAACGCCGAAGCGCACCGCTTCGTGAGGTATTGGCACCGGCGGCAATTCAAGATACGTATGGACCTCGGGGGGGATAAACCGGCAATATGGGATGAGACTAGGATACTCAATACATCAGTACTATGGTGATTATATATATATATATATATGTCCCACTTAAGCCGGCCGACAAATCCTGTTTCACGCCCCTATTTTACGTACTTGAAAGTTGCTTCAGCCTTTATTATTAGTGACATGGCATTCTACGCGATTAGTACTGAAAGAAGAGCAAATAACCTAATACAGGCATCAAGGCTCTCCGTAGCATATATACTAGATCAAAGAGAAGAACCGACGATGACTGGAAAATGTATTAGACCCATATCAACCAAACTCCGCCAATATAGTATCGCCCTCACTTAAGCCCCCCAGGCCTCATTCTTCCTATGTAGTTGTGTGTTGTGTGTTGTGTCATGTGTGGCTCTGAACGTCTATCGTGAAGCAAGCTAGCCTTTGCCCTTGCCCTCTTCTTTCTTTCTGGCTAGCTCCTCCTCCTCCTCCTCTGCCCACCCCCGTCCCCCTAGGTAATACAACACTACTGGTGCTTCTTTCGGTCCTCGGGGGGTGTCTCCCTAAGTCATATGCTTCGGTCTACAGTAAACTTTCGCTTGATAACATGAAATGTGTGCTAGGCCGCCTCTCCCAGCTTGACTACCCAGCTTGGTGGCTAGCCCCTACTCTCTCTCTCTACCATCGCCATATTATCTCTCGCTTTAAACGACTTCTCGCCAGCCCTTAGCAGCACTTGCCTAGGCCGCTGCTCTGTCCCGAGGACACGTTGACACCCTGGCCACCGGCAGCGGCGGCCTGCTGCGCGGGGCTGATGTCGGTGAGGCGCTTCTTGATGTCGCCGGCGAGGCTGTAGAAGGCCTTGTCGATGTTGATATTGCTCTTGGCGGATACCTCAAGAAAGGGGATACCGAGCTCCTTGGCGAGCGCCTCGCCTTGTTCCGTCGACACCACGCGCTTCTCTTCCCAGTCGCACTTGTTGCCGATGAGGATCTTGTTAACGCCTTCCGTGGCGTGCTGCTCTACGTTTGCGAACCACGTTCGGATGTCTGTGTCACGGGTCAGCATGGAGCCTCGAAAATGTTGGTGTAATATAAGCAAGCTGTTATCGATAGTTCCCACGGGCTCACTCGAGCCCCTCTTAACGCTCCCCTGTTCGTTTCATACGAGAGTGTACGTAGGGTATATATGTATATATATAGCTGGTGTAATGATTGGGAGTTCTTACTCTCGAAAGATCGCTGGTCTGTGACATCGTAAACCAAGAGGATGCCCATCGCGCCGCGATAATAAGCCGTCGTGATAGTTCGGAATCGCTCTTGGCCAGCAGTATCCCAGATCTGCAGCTTCACGCGCTTACCATCGAGCTCGATCGTGCGGATCTTGAAGTCGATGCCGATGGTCGTGATGAAGGACGGCGTGAACGAGTCTTCGCTGAACCGTAGCAGACAGCATGATTTGCCGACTCCTGAGTCGCCGATTAGGAGCAGTTTAATCTATACATTGAGGCCATCGTTAGTATACTTGAGAATGTGTATGGGCTGACAACCGGTGTAAGATAGAAGCCACGGCTTGAAAAGATGTCGATAACCAAGCTATCGGGTGGTATATTATCTCTCTAGCCGTAGCGTGCGGCTCGAAGGGGGGGAGGCTGTGAACGTACTAAGAAGTCGTAGTTTCGGTTGCCCGACATTTTGATAGAGGTCGCTCGTCGTGGACGGCAGAGAAAGCTACGGCGGGTATTTGATCGATCGTATTCTTTGTGGAAGAATAGTTTTGGCGTAAACGCGATTTCCTCGAATTTCTTGATATTATTCGGTTAAGATATCAAACGAGACGACGTGTCGTCAGAGGTGGCAGTAATACTAATAGTGGCTTTTGGTAGCAGTAGCAGTAGCGGTAGCGGTAGGCTGGTAGCGTTTAATGCTTAGTGTTTAATGGAGTTAATGGGAATGATAATGATAGTGGCACATGTATGTACTCTTGGCACAGGAGTAGGGAAATCTATCTAACTCGGTTTGTACTAGCATGCAGGAATACTGTGCACAAGGTTTATGGTTTCGGAAAGATAGAGCCTTCAATATTCAATTGAAGGTTTAGGGTCGATAGGTAAAACGACTTTGAGTTCGAAAGAGGATGGTTTGTCAAAGTACATGTACATGCACGTATGTATCTAATATCAGGTACCTTATGCGTTTACTCAGATAGCAACTACGTGTAATCAACAAACATGAGCAACGGTGTGCATTTTTACAACCTAACAGCTTAATCGAGTCGTTGGCTCAAACGAGGCAACCTCAACCTAAGTCGCATTAACCAAAGCAGAGCTACCTATCCGCTTGACTGGCATAAAACAGCAAACCCACTATTTTCAGTATCGATATATCAAGATTGGCTAAAGTATATAGACTGGTTGCGTTGAACTTACGTACTCTACCGATTATAAAGGGTTTGCTGTTTTATGCCAGTCAAGCGGATATACACAAGGTAACCTATGAGTACTTACTGTAGGTACTTCCATAAGAAGCTCCAATAGGTCATAGGAAATACGTGGCTGCCTTTTGCCGGTGTACCTGGCTTATGTCAGAATGGTGGTGGGCACGAAAAGGTACCCGGGGAGTGGTCCAGATTACTATGCACATATGCATCTATTCAACTAAGAAAAGGGGCTTGTTGACATTGTCTCATATTTGCCAGGCATGGCACTTCTTTTTCAACCGAATCCCACAATTGGAACATTGAACATCTCAGCTGTTTATTTAACCAGCACAACTATAGGCAATTGTCATATTAATCCGGAGTTTATATAAGACACAATACTCCTAAGCCGCCATACGCATTCGCTATAATATGTAATATTCTAACAGCGACTTTGGATTGGTGCAATTATTTCAACCACTTGGAATATGCCCAACGTATTCTATCCAAAGCTCGCAGCTGTGATTGGATGCCCTTGAGATTAGCAAGGTCATCTAGATCTTCCAAGAAGTCTTTCTCAATGTCGGCCGGGAGGAGGCCATGTGCAAGTTGTCGAAGGACGTGGACCTCACAAACGAGGAGACCGTGATCCTTGTAGGATATGAGGTTGTTAGGCGAAGGCGTGGCTTCGGATAAGATGCGGTCAATATTGCGTATAACTCGGATGCATTTGCCGGCTCTCTTATGTTCTCGGAAGCCTTTTCTGCCTCCGAACACACCACGGAGGTATTGCATCACTCCAATGGTCACGAGAATACCAGGTGTTAGACCTACGAAGCCAAAGACAAGTTCCTGGCTCTTTAGGAGGGCGTCAATCCCGCTCATGGCGAGTTCGATGTCGACCTTTGTCTTTTGAACCTGAATGAGCAACGTTCGGATCAAGTCACCTCGCACGGTGCCCATAAAGGGGCTGCGTAGGTCTTTTTCGAACGCGCGAAGAATCGGTGTCACATCTCCCTCTCGGACCCTGGCTCTGATTTCGGCAACCTGTGACTCTGATATTGACGGGGCGCCGGTTGCGACGTTCGGCTTATCGAGAGCAAAGTCGACGACCATACGCTCTAAGCTTTCCCTGTCGGCCTTCAGGCTATCCCGACTCATGATAGCAATCTCGCTATTATCGTCGTGACGGATAGTGCTAATAACCTTTCGAACAGGGTCGATAACCCAGTTGAACCAGAAGTCACGAACAGTCACGCCAAAGTCACTAACCCACTGCAGAATCTCCTGCTGTTTGTTGACCAAGATGCGGAGAATCGTGGACGAAGAGAGGAGAAGCGCAGTGGCAGGAAGCCAATATCTTACGAATATCGACGGCCGTCCATTTTCTGCTAGTAGTTTTTCTGATTCTCCAAGGTATTGCGGTAATTGGTTTGTTAGCAAGTCTTGAAGCCTTTTAGCCACTACAGCCGGGCGATGTGCTTCGTCTTCATCGGCCAGGATTGACAACTCAGGATCCTCTTCGACGCCAGCAAAGACTCTATCTTCGAAATCGGCAACTCTAACATCCAGTGTTAGGACGTCCTTGAGGACCATGTCCATTAGAGCGACGCTTCGCTCCACGACGCCTTTCCATTCTTGGTTGGCTGAGAGGATCATATCACTCTTACCATCATCACTTCCGTTGCCGCTGAAGACGAGACCCTCATCGATTAAAACACCCAGGCCACTCGAGGTCAATTCTCTAAGCCTTTTCAGATTAGCTTGCTTCTTACGGGCCTCGGATCGACAAAGAGCAACGGGAGACATTATCTTCCGCTGCACGTTGGCGAGCGACCTTTCGTGTATGGTCTCCCGCACAATATTGTAGAATTGGCTCCATCGTTGGGCTACTCCGGCCTGGATCGACTCTACGTTAGGTTCGCCTACCAAACCAGCGACCGATGTGCTGCCGCTAGTGTACTGTTGAAATCTAGTCTTGCTGTCCTCGTAGACTTCCCTAGTCCAAGCCCAGACTCGTATAGGGGAAGTTTGCACCAGGTATATACTGCTGTTCGTCGGAGACGACAGCACATCGTCCCAGTACCAGATGTGGTCACTCAGGGGAATGATCTGATCTAATAGCGTATCCAAAATAACACCGTATGTTCGCACGGTTGCCTTGCTAACCAATCTCCACTCAAGCTCAGCCTCATACTGGTTCGCGTTCGCCGATATCTCCTCAGCATGGTCCGATAGTAACTCCGACTGAGATAGGAGAGACTGGATATGCCGTGGGGAGAAGGCACTTTGCGATCCCGAAGCCGCCGAGAAGGCTTTGATGATCCTCAGCAGCTCCTTCGCGCGAGGACTATCCAAGTCTATTGAAGCTTGGGTGGCGTCATAGCCCGTCAAGTGGCTAAAAGGGATGCGGTCTAGCTGCGCATCCAGCCGCCGTACTTGACTGAACAAGGTCTGAGCCACATTATCATCGCTGGTAAAGAGTATAGATGTTCTTTTGTAAAACTTACTCAGCCACTAGGGACATTTTCTTTTTTCTATTGGAATGTAAACCACACGTGCAAATCTTCTGTAAAAAGGAGAGAGATTATATGGGTCGATGCTCGGATGTACGACCGGACATAATCGACTTGTCTAATTCTTCATATCCTTGTAAACTGTGGTCTATCTAGGCAATCGAAAAGGAAGTTCTCCGCGACGACGACCGGGAAGTTGCCGGGACCTTGGATGTGAGTTATTAGGCTGACGGACCAATTAGGAAAGCCAAATACAACCTTCCTTCAACCCTACCGTACGGAATTTGGGAAACGGCTACAATGAACCGATTTATTTGAGGTTGCGGTGTGCTAGATGCGGATTTGTTTCCCACAAGTCGAACGTTGGTCAGTCGATGCTTATTGTTGAGTTGTGCCTTGTTGATGAGGTCATAGTAGCGTGGGGAAGAAAGAAAAAGAAAATACAATTCACAAACTCAAGCTTCTAACCTAAGCTTTGACAGCAGTGGTTACTCTAAACTAAATAGGGTAAGGTACACGGGTAAAGCACAGAGCAACAGCTCTCTTTTTGGCAATTGGCAGTTGGGTTAGGGTAAGAGCATGGAAGTGTGAGCAGATCGGATAGGGATGGCTCCGAGTCAGGTGATTTGGCTGGGCTGCCGGAGGTCCGCCGTGGTTTATCCGATAAAGTTATCTGATCAACTAACCTGAGTACTTAGGTACATGTACCTAAACTAAAAGGGCAGAAGGGTCCCTGAGTTCAATTTTACAGTAGGTATTAGTGCAGATTTTCAGTGGCACTAAGCCACTAATAACTCGGAATACGAATACGATAGCCACATTCACTCCAAGTACATACACGCGGTTCAATGCGCATTAGAGTTACCTATGCTTCCCCTGATGCAGCTTCTCCACATTTTGATGCGTAGGCCGGGACGGGAACAGCAAATTCCAAGTGGTCTCATGGTGGCAGCATTCGAATGATTGGTCGTACGTCCGGCAATTAACCAGGATCCCCTAAATTTCGAAATCTCCAATCTCTCCTTATCGCCTCCTACCGCCTTTATTTTCTAAAGCTACAACAAATAGCAGCCGTCTTCTCGCCCTTTTTTCCCCCCTCTCCTTCACAACAATTCCAGCGTCGGCACAGGCTCATCAGCATTTCCTACCTTAGCATTTGAGTCTTTCTTTCGCTCATAGGAAGGTTTGGTTTGTTCATCCGCTGTTGGTTTTACCTAGATTCCCCTTTCGCCACCATGGCCACGATGTAAGTCCGCCTGCCCCTTAACTTAACTTCGATCGCGTCTTGCTTGCAATTGAATCGGATAACTAACGCGCTCCGCAGAAATGCCACTGTCGCTGGCGTCTTCAGCCATCCCGATACGTATCTAAACGTATTCGAGGAAGTCACAAAATACAATGTCCACCTCAACGTGGTAGAGCGCGCTTGGGCGGTTAGTTTACCCCCTAAATTCCAAACCGTCCAGGTACGAACAAAGCGACTGACTCAGTAAACCTAGGCCTGGTATCTATGGATGCAGAACGACACATTAGCGACGGGTATCATGAGTTTTTTCATGCACGAGATCATCTACTTCGGCCGGTGTATACCCTACATGGTCCTCGACCGAATCCCTTTTTTCAACCGCTACAAGATCCAAAACCAGAAGATCCCGACGTGGAAAGAGCAATGGGAATGTGCCATGCTGGTTCTTCTCAGTCATGTTACCGTCGAACTACCTCAGATCTGGCTTTTCCACCCTATCGCTACCTACTTCGGCATGGACTACGGTGTTCCCTTCCCTAAGCTCTCGACGATGGCTCTGCAAATCGCTGTCTTCTTTGTTGTCGAAGACGCATGGCATTACTGGTTACACCGAGCACTACACTACGGTCCCCTATACAGGATGATTCACAAGCTTCACCACACCTACTCCGCCCCCTTCGGTCTGGCTGCTGAGTACGCCTCGCCGATTGAGACTATGCTTCTCGCTCTCGGAAGCGTCGGAAGTCCCATTGTCTGGGTTTCTCTAACCGGGGACCTTCATCTGTTCACCATGTACATGTGGATTGTCGGCCGTCTATTCCAGGCCATCGACTCACACAGCGGATACGACTTCCCCTGGAGCTTGAGGCACTTCCTGCCCTTCTGGGCCGGTGCCTTCCACCACGACGTCCACCACGAGAAGTTTATCGGAAACTACTCCTCCAGCTTCACATGGTGGGACTGGATGCTCGACACCGAATCCGGTCCCGAGGCCGCCAGGCGCCGCCGCGAGAGGAAGCTCAAGGCTATCAAGGCCAAGAAGGCCGAGTAAAGAGGCTCCATAACCTCACAACATTAGGATGTGCACTGGGACGGTGGGCAGGTCAGCTAGTGGCATTCCGCCGATTCCCGATGCTTACTCCTGGCCATCAAGATTGATTGCTGGCCATTGGGAGGAGATTGCCCGATGCCGTAAGACGCAGCACCTAAGGGAACGATACTTTACGATTTTGTCGATCGTTAATTCTAATAGACATGGGGCTGGCCGACTTAATACAACTTTGTAATTGTGACGAAGAGAAGAGATACTACTATCATAGATTAATAATAGCCTAAGAGTCCTTCATTGGAACTTTTCAAACAGACTTAACAAGACATTCTAGCCTTCGGTCGATAGCGGTGAAATTGTGCTCGTGTCCATTTGTAAAATTCCTTGCGTCGCATATGATTCTTATAGTAAGCGATTTGGCTGTATTTAATATTATATCTAACTTATTGATCCGGATCGGTTACCTCGAAGTTAGTCATCGTCATACGGATTAAAAGGTCCCCAGGATGTTTATTTTCCGTTACGGACTGATATCTCGGTCTGTTTCGTTCTTTATTTTTTAGGAGTACAGCAATCGCCCGCGTTGGTGACCGCACGGTCAGCCACCTGCTTTAGCTCGCAGCTATCGGTCTCCTCGATAATCTCACCAAAGTCGCTGGCGAGGCCGTCGCAAATCGCAGCCAGTTCGACGTCCTTGGCGGAGAGGCCCTTTGGATTATGCGTTGTCCACCGGATATACGTCGTATTATAGACCTGTGCGATAACAACAATCACATGAGTCAGCCGTTGTATACCACGGGTCAGCAGATAGATAACTCGTGCGTTCCATCTGGTAATAAGAAAGATAATATATAAGTCTGTTACGGCCAAGCTCTCCACCTTTTCTAAAGACGACGGCGGCGATTCGCAGTCGAGGCTGACGAGCTTTGGTTTAGAGCGTACGTTTGTTCCAACACGGGTGGGCACGTGTGCAGGGCGCATTCTCTTTATGATAAACGAAGAGGCGAATGAAAGGGGTACAGTAGGGGGACACCTTACGTTAGACCATTCCGGATGATGGTTTTTCAGCTTGCACTGCAGTGATACTGCAGTCATAAAATCCTAACAGAACCAACACGATTAGTCGAGTCTACACCATCATTCGCAGCTGGGGCATGTTTAGATGGGTTTGACCATGCGGTCGTGAAGATCATATAGGGCTTTTGAATGTCAGGTCAGATCTTCCCGGGATCGACTACCCCGAGGACCGGGTGGCACCATTTCATCCAGTACTCGGCTATATCAAAGCCAGTTGAAGGCCGAGATTAGCGAATAAGGACCCGTGTGGAGTCAGCAGGAGACTTTATTTCTCCCTCATGACTAGCCATACGTTGCGTGGTTGGCCACGGCGCTTCTTTTCCCGTGTTCAATATTGAAAATTGTATACTGATAAGATGCAACACCCGCCGGGGACCCTGAAATTACGGTATCCCCATGTTTACGCCCCCCGAGGTCGACCGATCATGCTAGCAGCACCCAAAGGTAAGCCTATCTGGGGAATAATTCGGGAAGCCATGTTACCCAGCTACCTAGTCATTCAGGCTCAGCCCACCGGCAATTGTCGATGTTCCCCAGACTCTCGTACACGGGTGCAGGTAAGGGAGATGATGCAAGAGCGGCTCTGTTCCAATGAGGGGAACCCTCGGGAACGATTGCGGCCGAATAAAGCAAATGCCGTGACCAGAGGTAAACAAGAAGGGAAACTAATGGTACGACGAAGGAGACGCGGGAAGCGGGTATGGTATGGTATGGTAGGTATGGCTGACTCACCCACGTCTTCGCAAACGTCTTGAACTTGAAGCTCCTCTCCAGACCCTCGCCGCTAGCTATCAGTACCCACCGACCGCCATGCCCTGCTGATGCCAGCAAAGTCTCTAGCGTCCGCGTTAGAGCCGGCTCGTCAACACCAGCAGAGAACTGGGGAGCAGCTTGGGAATCCGCAGCGCTTGCCATGACTGCTGCTGAAGCCGTGAAAGTTCGGCGGCTTTGACCCTGACCCTGACCCTGATCCTGATACACGAGTGAGCACCGGCGAAAGGTTGCAACCGCCTGTGCGCCTCGGCGTGTCGCCCCGACGGGTTTGCTCGTAACTTGTGGTGCCTTAGCGGCAGTCCTCGCGTAGTAGAGCAAAGGGCGCGTGTACCGGTTATACATTAGGCGCGGCACAGACTATTATTAGATGGCCGGATATGAGGTGGTTTATGGTGGTGTAACGTGTAGAGTCTCGTCATATATTATAATATACCACCTATAAGAGCTCTAGGATGCACACGGAAGCAGATTGCGAGCTACCCTGGTATTCTGTTGGCTAAGTTTTGAAAGAAATGAATGAATATGAATGGTTTAGCAAGTTGCTACAAAACATCTCCAACGTTTTATTTCTAACGTTTATTTAGAGGTATTTTATTTAGAGGTATAAGTCGGATAATAGGTAAGTGAAGTCGTCTTAGGTCATTTTTGGGTGGTCTAAGCTTTGCGATTACCCATATTCATATATCTACTAACGTACCTTCCCAGTTACCTTAATACCTCTAGCTACATCTAAGTAACAGCCGTTACTAACAGCCGTTACTAGCTAGAGTTTGTTACGTATAAAATCTTGGGCACATTCATCTTCTTTCACCAAACTTCCATGGCAGTACACTACCTCACAATATACAACGTAACCCCTTTTCAGTCCCGAGACATTTCGGCGATTAAAACTACAAAGTTGCCGAAAATCGGGTACATATAAGGGCACGGTCGCTTTATCATACCCCATTAGGACTAATATGTTCTCCTTTTTCTAAATCTGCGCCCGTGTCCGATCCCCGTATCGTCGATTGCTGTGCTGTCAGCAGACGGCGGTGACAGGTTTTCATCGTACTACTACTATGTAGTTCGTCGTTAGGTCGACAGATCTTACCAAATTACGTACAGCAGTTTTTAAACGGAGGGAGGGTCTATCCACTTGCTAATTTCCGGCACGTCGCGGATCGGACCATCTGGGATTCCCACGTGGAAATATCCTTTCTTATCCCGCTGTAAGCCTGGATATTACCGATGGGAAAATGGGTCGCTAACTACACCGCTGCTGGGGCTAGATCTGCTTTCTGCTTACATAGTACTCCCGAGGGCCGACCGTAATATTGCCCTGTAACCAACAGCGTCCAAGTTTAATGAATGGGTTGGGTGACTTTCCGATTTGGTTGTTATTGGATGTGATGAAATCCCGTTTTCGTTTTTTTCCTCCTGTGTTGCTAACGCTCTTGAGGCTCAGCATGAGGATTGCCATCTTCAACCCACCGGTTCCTACAGTCTAGACATGTAAAGCTTAGGTCTTGAGATTCCAAATCGCGATCGCGTTCGCGTTCGTCAAACTCCGAGAATTATGCACCCCGGTGCAGGAGATCCGGAGTTTTAAATACCTAGGTAGCTAGGGTGTATGCCTGGCACGCGATTCCCTAATAAGCAGTATTCTTATACTTGGAGCTATATTGGCTCAAATTGGAAACTCATTTATGCCTCCCAGCCCCAAGCCATGGATGAACGGCGCAGGCATCTGTACTCAAGCCCCGTTTATCGATCGAACTCTGGTTAGTTTTACAATGACGCTCTGTTACGCCTGAGTTCAGCTGCCCAGTTTGTTAATCATGTACTTTGTTAATCTATAGTCTTACTGAGCAGGGTTTGATGGACTTAGACTAGTTGTGTTAAAGAAGCAATCCTCATTTACTCACAGACTCAATGTCTTTCATTAGCGGTTCTCTTGGTCGCTAAAGGGCACGCTATCGCCCAAGTCCTCCATGGTGTTGTCTACGAGCCCTTTTGGCGTAGTCAACACCTTCCAGGTTATCTTTTTTTACTGACCATCAATATACTCAGCCTGCTTTAGGAAGTGGCGCATGCAGGAATTTCACAGGTAATTATTACTTATGTATGGAATCTTGGATAATGACCGACCAACGGGGTAGAAACAGTCCATTACCTTTACCTAAGGTTAAGTTCAAATAATTACCTGTAGTCTTCTAATTAGGTAATTAGAAGACTACAGGTATATCAGGTACCCAATATTAGCAAAAAGAAATACAAAGACCGTTACCTAAATCTACCCGCTCAAGTAAATCGTTGATGAATATTTGTAACACTTATAATCCTATCCTGCCACAAGAGTTAATAGTATCGAATGCTTCTAGCTGACCAGATGGCAGCTGGAGTCATTTTCTCCAGCGTCATACTCGCTTGGAAATACCTCCGTTCTTACCGCGCTATATTATAAAAAAGCGTTGAGTTTAGTATAGACCTCAAAACCAGTCCCATAATATCTTGGCATCCTTGGTCCTAGTGTCTAACTTTCAAGTGGACGTATAATAGGGCCGTTTTATGTACTTCATAGTTGCGATTACTTCTAGTCCTGTAAAAGGCACTACTGTGTTGAGAAGGGAGAGTCGTACAACGTACTACAATAAGTGGTAGTTCATAAAACTTACATAGTACGTAGTAGATTATCCTATAGGGATTGACATCGAGCTATAGTCTCGGCACGGACGTAGGTAGATCACATACAGACATGTATAATATGCAATGTCAGCACCAACATGTTCACGCCACTTTGAGACCCCTTCGTTCCGCATTCCTAATTAGGTTCTATTGCAGACCAACAAATCGGCGCTGCTGGCCTAGGTCGAAGATGACTTGTTCAATCCATTAGTCATCAGTGTAACTGGCCCGTGGATGCCCTATACGAGCGAGTAACTATAACCATACCTTTATCTCCGACAGGGTTACGATCTCTAATAAGACAGCGGGACGAGCTGAAAGATGCAAGCTGATATGTACCATTTACTCAACGACAAGGATCGGTTCGAGTAACTCTATTGGGATTTGCGGGAATAATAGGGTCTAAGGTCTTCGGGTCAACTGTTTTTATAGAGTATAAATTTTGACTTATAATTTATCGATGAGGCCTTAACGACCTAGTCGGCAAATAACACTATTGTTGGTTTATCTCCAGTATTCCGGCCCGAGAACGTACGTAAAATGTAACATATCGTTACTATCCGTATAAAACGTAGGTAGATATTACTAATCTAATGTCGGCCGGAACGACCGGTTTTGATCTTGTCCAACAGCGTAGGCTATAGTGATGCTAGCATGACGTGAGTGGTAATTGCTGAAACCTACAGCCTCTAGTTTATCTTATCTCCTAAAATGTGAACCAGACATAAGTACCTTATAATCCACTTATATCAACGAATGAAACACCGAAAAAGACTCAATGCATACTCTCTTGGGAATGGTGTAAAAAATCCAGCTAATCAGATCTAGATGGAGCATGTACCTATGTCTACATAATACTTTTCACTTTAGGAGATAAGCTGCCTATATAGTTGATACTGGGCGTGCATTCAAATTATGAGGACGGACTGCCATATAATGTGATAGGATACCGCTGGCTGATATTAACAGGAATAAGGTAGCATAAGGATCCTAGCCATTAAGTTGCATCTCCAACTTTCGAATCTATGAGCGATGTTGCGGCGCCAGGGTACGAGTGTAATTCAACGAACCGAAATTCGGCATCAATACTGCCGGCTGCTTACACGTTGCCAACCTTCCAGTTGAAGACGCAGTAGACTCAAGATTATACTCCAAAAGGATCATACGGCGGATGCAAACCAGAAGGCTTTGGTATAGGCGAAGGAAGCATTGCAGATACCGATACCGATACGCGAGAAAAAGGATTCATAAAATATTGTCAACTAAAAGCATAAATATAGTAATTACTCCGTAGTTCATGGGTCGGGATAGTCTCGTAAATCCTTCTCGATTCTCCTTCTCCTTTAGATATCATGAATGACCGACCTATGGGTTGTCACAAGCCGAGCGATTATCAGCCCATCGCATTATGTCGATAACACAAGTAAAACAGGCAAAAATGTATGCGGTAAGTTGATACAGCATTCTCGGGGGATGGATTGGCCAGGATTACTAAAGCAGCCAACTACTACATACAATACCTAATGTAGAATCGGCTTTTCACTTTACCTTGGGGTAACTTGGGGCTCGTCTAAGTTGTGAAAACCCTTATGTTTCTGTTGGCGGCAAACAGAGTAAGCCGTAAACGACGCGTAATTAAAATCAGATGTGAACCTAACAGCGCAAAGGACGGACGGGAGAAGGCTTGTTGCCGATGACCGCCGCGGAACGCCAAGACTACTAGGGAGGTGTGGAATATATTGGCCGGCGTATCAATCTCGATTTTCCCAAGACGGTTGGATTGGATGATGTTATGTTGAAAAAACCAAAAAGATACTTACGTTGAATGTTGAATACCTATGTGAATATAAAAGTCTCATTCCCATTTACATATCGAGGTAGGCAGTCATATACTTCGTCTGCATCTGTATTCGGATACCTTAATATGAGGCTCTAAATTTTATGTTGGACCTATCGGCAGATTCGAATTACATACATGAGAGTACCTAATGTAATATGTACAGTAAAATTGTACCGTTAGTTATGCGATTACCTAAAGGTAGTATTACACACGTGATGGTATTACTAATACGTACGGTAAGCATTGATAGATAGGTACATGTACCTAAGCAGCTAAATTCCAATTATTCTTCAAACCTTAACCCGCTCCCAAACTTCGGACCTACTCCATTTGATGTTGCTGTTTCGATACGGGATGGTTAACTAGATCTCGTCACGGAAAGTCCCTTTTAGTACTTAGACCAACGAGGTTCCATCGTGTCATCATCCAATTAACTTAGTATCGCATAGAACCATGCCATGTGCATGCATACATATGTACATCGTACGTCGTACATCGTACATCTCGATACTACATGTATGTACCTATGTAGGCCGATAACTAGGCTGCTGAAAACTACCTAAGCAGGGAAGTATTGATGTTAGTAATGAAACCGTGCCCTCGGAGGACGAGCTCTTTTAGCCTGTTGTATTACGTAAGTCCGCGGTTGGAACCCGCGCATTGATTCGACTTGAAATGTTATTAGTTAATGAAAAAGTTGATGAAACTTTTTACGACATGCGTTCTAGCGGCCATCGTTTATCCAAGGTTCTTTTGTAATACCGTGGCACCTTACGTAATAAATGGTACCAACACATAAAAGGGTTGAAGATGCGAAGCTTTATTTTCTTCATCAGACCTGCGAGCTAGAACAAGGTGTGGTTCTCTAAAAAACTGTACCATACCGTCGCCCCGGGGCGTGTATCTAATAATTGGAGAACCATATAGCCGAAGGAGTTCTAAAACCCGATGCTGAACCTACAAAGTATGCAAAGGTAAGAAAGAGAAGGCGTAAAAAAAGTCCGGTCTTTATTACTATTCTCTTCGTCACCCAGCCCAACCACGTACTATAATACCTTACTGAATATTATTATACCCGAGTATCGTAAGATGTGTAAACCGTCTCTATATACCAGCGCACTTAATAAGTGCTTAGGTAGGTCTCGTATGTACGAGCAACATAAAAACCTTGAGTA